ATTCAGCTCCCACTTGAGGTCCTGGGAGGTGATGGTGCCCAGGAAGAGTCCACAGTGGCGACTGATGAGACACAGGATTATGGGGGAGGGTGGGGCTGGGCTTTTTCTGAAGTCCTCGACCATCTCCACTGTCTTCAGAGCTTTGAGCTCTGGGCTGTTCTGGCTGCACCAGGTCACCAGATGGTCAATCTCTGACCCAATGAGCCCAATGAGGGTGGTGTTACTACAAACTTCAGGAGCTTGACGTATTGGTGACTGGTGGGGCAGCTGTTGGTATACAGGGAGAAGAGCAGAACAGAAAGAACGCAGCCTTAAGCCTGATTCGAGGAGAATCAGAGACAAGGCTCAATGTTTTCCCATCTTCACGTGCTGCTTCCTGTCCGTCAGGAAGTCTGTAATCCACCTGCAGGTGGAGTCAGGCACATTCAGCTGAGAGAGCTTGTCCTGCAGCAGGGCCGGGATGATGGTGTTGAAAGGAGATGGCTAACTCTGAGGAGTGGGGGGAGAAGATGGTGGACTGGGGCTGAAGCTGAGCGGAGTCCCAGAGGATGGTGTCCGATTGCCTCTCAAAGCGGCAGTGGAACTGGTTCAGCTCATTTGCCAGGCGAGAGTCGTTGATGGAGTGGGGGGCTTTGGGTTTGTAGTTTGTGATCTGTCTGAACCCTCTCCAGACAGAAGTGGCATAGATTGCAGAGAACTAGTCCTTTAGCCTCTCTGACTACAGTCATTTAGCTTCTTGCACCTCTTGCTAAACCTGTACTTTAACGCCCTGCAACTGGCCCTGCCCCCACTCCTATATGCCTCCTCCTTTTCCAACCTAAGCTGCCAGAGTTTGTCATTGTTATAACTCACCCTGGTGCGTGTTGGTATATAGCTGTCCTCACAAAAACTGATGTAGGACGTCACAGCATCAGTAAACTCATCATGACTATTGGTAGCAGTCCTGAAAGCAACCCAGTCAGTGCAGTACAAACACGCCTGAAGATCCTCTACAGCTTCGCTGGTCCATTTTTTTTGATGTGATCACTACCAGTTTACAGAGTTGTAGTTTCTGTCTGTATGCAGGAATCAGGTGCACCATGATGTGATCAGAATGTCCCAGTGGAGCGCGTGGGAAGGCCAGATAGGCACTGCTTACTGATGTGTAGTGATCCAAAGTGTTCCCCTGTCTGTAGGACACTTTAAACTGCCTGTATTTGGGGAGTTCTTGGTTGAGGTTTCTTTTGTTAAAGTCACAAAGAACAATAACAAGAGAGTTTGTCTGCTCCACACACAGTATCCGGTCGGCCAGCCTGCGGTGTTTGCTAAGTCTGTCAGGCATGTTGATTAATCTATTCCACAGTCGCATGTCACCCTTATGCCACACTTCATATGGGTCCCGTCCCATGTCATCACATACTGCAAGCTATTAGATCATAATAAAAGGGCCTATCTAAATGTCAGGGAAATTACACATATAATGTCACTAGGAATTAAAAATGAATAAAACATGCCATTCCGGTGGTTTTAAGTAAACAAATTAAAACATCCACAAGGTAAGTGGAAAAAGTCCACAGAGATTTGAATTGGACAGCTTGTTATCATAATGCAGGGCTAGCTAATGATGGCAAAGTTGTATGCTTTCATCTAAAGAAGCAAAAGAGACACTTAGTTTCTAATGCACCAACTATTGGGCATTAACGGCAGTGGAAACAGTGGAGCACAACATGATCTCATATCAAATATACTGCAGTTGTGAAAAATAATGTATCACAGAGAGCACACAGGAGCTGCTGTGACATTCTGTATTTTTTATTCTTTTTACTATTATTATTTGGGAGGTGCTACAGTACAAATCACCAGCCACTGAGACAACCTACTTTAAAAGCAGCTTTTTCTTTACTGCAATAAAGACACTGAACTCGTCACATTAATACCACGGCATATCCAGCACTGTGCTGCTCCCCAATAGAAAACTCAGACTTCTCCTTTTCTGCAGTGTTAATGCTGTGGTGTTGTGAGTGTATGTGTTGTATGATATGTGATATGATACATCATATATATCATGGTTGTGTGTATGTTGTTATTACATTAGGTTGGTGTGTATTGTACAAAATTTAATATGTGAATTGAAAATAATTGATTTTCTTGGACAAATGCAATTACTGCATCAAATAAAATTAAGTCACCAATTAATGAATGGATGGAAACCCAACTAATTAAAGGGATTTAGATTCAGGCCATAGTATCACAGTAAATGTATTTGCATAGAAAATTGAAGGTGCGATAACTAAAGAAAACAGTGAAATGAAAGTGGACCTCAGATAGTTTGTGATGAGTTGTTTATCTCTTTTAAGTCCATAAACTTTCTTTGGGTTCAACCCAAGCAGAGGAAATAATCCCCAAGTCTTCCTCGTAGTCGCATCACCACAGGCAAACTAGGAGCTCACTGAAGTGAGGAGAAAAACAGAATCTGAAAAATCTAATTCTGCATAGCTTTGAAGGAGCAGCAGTACCACTTCACTGGGTCGAATTTTCGAGAGGCTTAATAAAGCAGCAGTGTTCACTCAGAAGTGAATTAGAAAGTATCAGTACATGCATCACTTAGTGATCAACATACTTAAATGAGTTTTCAACCATTACAGTAATTTGTTTTTGTTGGGGGGAACAAACAAATTCAAACCTTCCATGCTCCCCACTTACTCACTGAGGCTTAGTCAAGCATCATGGGAAAGGCAGTAATTACATGCACCCATAATGAAAGCATTGTAAAATATTCATTGAATTCATCTTTAGAGCTGCTGTTGTACTCAAGGCTACAACTCCCCCTTCTCAACACAGAGTTAACTGGTGAGGTTTGTCCGTTGACTGACACAGGTACAGCTGCCTCATGCCTGCGAGTTTTTGAGTCACAAAGCATTTCTAATTGGTCATGACAGGAGCTTCTGGTTGCCAGATTTGATCTATACAGCCCCTAGAATATTTATTGTTCAGCATCGCCCCACACTGTGCCTCTAAAAAATACATTATATGAGACCTAGTGGAGGTCTCAAACAGAGGCATCAACGACTGTAATAATAACTGGGTAGACAAATGAAAAATACATAAATGAAAGAACAAACACACTAGTACATAAAAACTACAAATTTCTTTGATCTGCCAGCTCAGATGAAGCATGACCCTGTACATTGTACTTTTTTTCTCATCTTTGCAACTAAACTCCTGCCGTTGAAGCTGAAATGCATATCTAATTAATGAAGAACTAAGTGAGAAAGAAAGAAAATATCACCAGCAGATGGTTCTTGATTTGGCGTCAGTGATTCACAGCACCTATGCAGGGTCAATCTCAGGCAAATGAGTTTTCTTTTACAAATATCCACAAAAAACGTTATGAAGTTCAGTTTAACAGATTAGGTCAATGGTGGTTTAACTACTACTGTATTATGTTGCCATGGAAGCTTTGTAGACAAGTCTACAAAACTAACTGGCCTTTCATTTTGTAATTAGACATAATTATATTATAAACAATGAATAAAATCCAGCCAGAGTTATTTTATATTCTGCATATGTATATGGAATTTTTTCATTCTGAAACTTCTTAAATTCTGTATGTAAATATAATTTCTACATTATTTATGAAATGATGATCATCACGATAATGCTACTTTTAAAACAAGATGCCGATAGAAATTGTTCCAAAGTTTATCATTTTTGTACAACACATTGAAATATTTGGTATCTGCTCCAAACAACCAGTATGATTGCATTGATATAGAAAACATACTTTTCTCATTAATTTGATGATGTCCTTCAGTTTGTCCCTAAAATGGTTATAATTTAACATAAAAACATTAACAGTGCCACATAAAGGGGAAATGTGTAGTTTTCAGTGGCCTCTAGTGGTGAGGTTTCAAATCGCAACCATTACTTTTCCAAGAGTGTGCTCCTCATGAGCAACCATCCGGCATCAACATTACACAAAATGCCGGAAACTAAGGTAAACTCCCACTGCAACGCTACAGTAATATTTTCATCAGCTTCATGTTGAACTACTTGATGCTCGTTACATGTAATATTGTTTACTTCTGTTTTCCTTTTTATGATTGTTGTATTGTACAGTATATTGACTGTTTATTGTCTCCTATGTAGCAGAAGGGAGATGCAAACAGAATGTATTTTTACAAGCCTGTTGTAAAATTACCTTAAATCCTTGAATTCAGCAGACATAATTTATCGCATTGTGTATCTTTCATCAGAGAAACTCAGCAATGTCAGCATAGCTAAAATGTATTGGATGATGACGAGAACGGTTACTGAGCTAGACTAAATACTATAAATGAGACTGTTGCCATACTTTAGGAAAACAGTTAGACCGTAGTAAGTAGCGTTACTGTAACTTACTGAATGGGACTTCCACTGTGGGGTCCTGTGACATCACAGGGATGAAAGCTAAATGTTTCTCATATAACTATTACTCCTTAACTAGGAATTGCGCATGTGCAACTCCCGACAAAGAAAAGATGTATCAAATTATGACAATAAACAATAAAAATGATCAAGTTAGCTAAGTTAGTTAATATTGGGGAGGATAAAATAGACTGAATTTGATTCACTAACAAATTGGCTAGCAAACTGTTGGCAACAGATAGGCCTAGCTGTGGTAACAGCTACGACAACAATAGGTAAAGCTAAAAACAGGTTGCAACAATACACATTTTCCTATTACTAGTGTACTTTATTTCTGTTTCTCTAGTGGTTGAGTCAAGTTTCCGTTATACATAGGTTTTATCTCTAGTAGGTACAAGATGCAATGTCACTAACTGACAGTGCTATACAATTGATTTCATCCACAGTGTGGATACCTGTAGTTTTTGTTTTATTCCCAGGAGGGTAGAAAAAATACAAAGTATATTTTTTGGACTGTTCAGACTTTACATGTGGCATTGTGTCGCTGCGGTGGAGATGATTTTGTGTATCGCACTTACCTCTCTGATCATCAGGTCTCCTCTTTCTGCTTCTAGGCATCTCAGTAGCAGACAACCGTCGGAAGAGGATAGAGCTCTGGAGGTCGTCCTACTCTACCTTCAATGAGTACAAGCTTCACTTTCTGGACTTTTGTTGTATACCTTGCTGTACCTGGCAATACAGAAATGAGTGTCATCTTAGTGAAAAGTCTGCAATACCTGATATTGTTCTCTTATACAGCAGTAGCATTTTCACATAAAATGCAATCAAAAGAACAAATCACCACTATCCATCTGTATTCCCATCCTGTTAATAATCATTTTGGCTCATCACTTATAAATGTATTGAGTAAAATGCATAGGAGTACTAATAAAGCAACATACTGAATTGTGTGATCAGCTTTTCCACTAACTGGTCGGTGGAAGTGGTTGTTGTAATCCAGCCCAGTCAGCATGGTCTGAGCAGCGCACACTGGTGAGATGTATATGGTTATGGGAAACTAGAGTGCACAGTAGAAAACAAGAAACAATATCTTTCCCTTCTTGTAATATAATTCATACAAATACAGCACCAATTACAGTGTGTAATTACATGTTTTCCAACAGTAGGTTTAGCTATATACAGTGTCAAACTATATAATAAGTAGCTTATAAATCAGAAACGCAGATACTTGGGGACCTTTAGCCAGCTTTATTTATGTACACTGAAGTTGTTGTGTCTTTCTCATAACTACAAAAACAGAAAAATTCAACATTACCACATTTGTAAAATGTTTTCTTCAAAGATATATCTGAGTAACATACAAATCCGTGTTTGGTTCGTTCTTTCATTTCATTATTTCGTTTCAAAACCAAATCGGAAAAACCAAAAAACCAAGTAGTTTTTTTTGTTTTTCTGTTTTAAAACCCCCCCAAAAAATGGAAAAACGGAAAACAAAAAAACAGACATCTGTTTTTCTATTATAAACCCATAGGCTAACTAAAAACAAAGGAGCAGCGTTTTGTTCTGTCGTTGACTGGTGATGTATCTCTACAATCTTTCTCACTCCCCAACTTGTCATATATGGCATGGTAAAGGCCTATCGACGTTTGTAACGCACTGGGGATCCCTATAGCATCATAGGTCATGGCAATGGGTGGGAGAAGCCCTGTAGCGTCAGTTTGTAAAGGCAGACGGTAAAGGCAGGTATATGATATATAACAGAAAAGACTGAGTAAGGAAGTATAAATAATTTTAAGTCTTCTTTCTCTACCATCAACTACAGTACTATTTTGTTTTCTATATATGCTTCCTCTGGGTGATGTCATATGCAGGCATGGTATTTCCTTCCATTGTTATGTGGATGATACACAGTTATACCTACCTGTACAGCCCACTGACCTTAGTATGCTGAGCTCACTACAGGACTGCCTTACCGACATAAAACATTGGATGTCAAATAACTTTCTACAACTCAACTCCAATAAAACAGAAATCCTGCTTATAGATTACCAACATCTCTGCAATCAAATTCTGCCCTCTTCTGGCGACGTGCTACAACACGTGAAGCCTGCTGCAAGAAATCTTGGCATTTTATTCAATAGTAATTTATGCTTTGAGCATCATGTTTCTAAACTTGTCCAGTCCATCTTTTACCACCTTAGAAATATTGCAAAAATAAGGCCTATTTTAAATGTTACAGATGCAGAAACTGTTATACATGCTTTTATCTCCTCATACATTGATTATTGCAACAGCCTCTTCACTTGCCTTAATCATCAAACCCTAAATAGGTTACAGACTGTACAGAACTCAGCAGCTCCTCGGCTCTTAACTAGGACAAGAAAATATGATCATATCACCCCTGTTTTAGCATCATTGCACTGGCTCCCTGTTTGTTTTAGGATTGATTTTAAGATTTAACTCATTACTTTTAAGGCTATTCATGGCATGGCTCCTGATTATATTTTAGATATTTTTACTCCTTATGAGCCTTCCCGTGGTTTAAGATCCTCTGGCAAGGGCCTCTTGTCAATTCCTGGAGCCAGACTAAGAACAAAAGGTGACCGAGCATTTGCTGTTAGGGCCCCGAGGCTTTGGAATGACTTGCCTGAGGAAATTAGGCTGGCAGGGTCGGCTTCTTCTTTCAAATCTCTTTTAAAAACTTTCTTTTGAAGCAAATCCCGATTTTATCTGCGCTACCACTCGTTTTACTATTCCTGCCCTGCCCACTGGACGGTCAATGGTCGTTCCCTCTGGCTGGATGAAGTCTGATGCTTCTAACCCATGCTACTGCAGCTGGAGGCTCTCCGCAGTGCCATGGAACTTTCTAAATTCTTTCATCTCAAGATGAAAATAAAGGGTCAGGTCTAAACAGTGTCTCGAGAGGCTGAATGGATACACGTAAGGATACAAAACAACAATAAAGTTTTATGTGCTGAAGCCCATCAGGCCAAACAGATTCAGATGATGTTGAGTAAAAACAAAGTAAGCATTAGTAAAGCTGGAGAAACACAGAGAAAGCTCACCGGCTAACGCCGAGCAGTTGCTAATATTATCCGTTGCAAAGTTATATCGCTTTTCACATTGCTTCACCAACTAACGCGACCCATGTTACTATCCTGTGTGCCACAGTTGATATAGCCTGCAAGAAAGGATGTAACGGTAAAAAGCATATGTGGAGCGATTTGTTAGCCTATAGTGATGCAGCCAGGAGCGGCCAGCTAACGCTACATCAGCTCGGACCTGCCACTGTTTGCTTCGTAACATTCAGTTTAGGTTTAGTGTGCTTTTACCAATACTCAGGTACACAGCTTCTCCACCTCTCCGTTGCTGTAACTAATGTGAACACTAACACTACAGTAAAGTTCCTACTGTGGTCTTATTATTATAATATTCAGTCCAGCTCACTACCCGTTTCATTATCATCCATTACATTTAGCTGTGCTGACATTGTTGAGCCTCCGGTGACAGATTCACAGATAGTAAAGATAGTTACTGAAAGCAGCAGGTGATCTAACGCTGTAGCACGTCAGCTAAATGCATTGTACCGTGATCATGTAACAAGCATGGATTAGTTCAACCTGCTGATAAAACTATTACTCAAGCACATGATTGGCAAAGGGTTTGGCAAAAAAGCAGGAAAATATAATGAGACCTCCCCACACCCCGATAAAACTGTTGGCGGCTCTATTATAACATGGATGAAGTGTCTAATCCACTGTGCTATCGCAGCCTCTCTATAATAGTTATCATTTTGTATTCAATTTTTACCAAACATCAACAGCTCAATGTGTAACATGCAACATGAAATAATTGAGTCTATAACTAAGTAAAAGAACTACTAACATTTTAATTAGTTCAGTAGAAGTAAATTAATATATTTAAATATTTACTTCTAGAAGTAAATGGATTATTTTTTAATGAATAAGATACAGCAGCAAAGGTTGTTGCCTGTTTCAAACCTGGTGACCGCAACAGTTTTACGGGATCGCGCCAGTTACACAGAAGCCGTTGGCATGGTTACCTCGCAGAGCGCTTGTTTACCTGTTGATGAGGAGCACAGAGCGACCCCATGGATCAAAGCTGTATGAAACGGCCTTATATAAACCCTGTCACAAGAATTATTTTGCCAAAACCTTTAACATAAGGACGACTTAAAAAGCAACCATTCATACAGGAAAGTGTAGCCTATATGGGCTACATGATCGATCAATCGACAACAAAGTCAAAGTAAACATTAGACATAGCCTATAACGAGCAATAATCAAAACATCCCCAATTTATCCGATGCGTATTGTCAACTCAGTGTTGGGCAAGTTACTCAGAAATAATATATTTATTACCTATATACTTAGCATACTCCTTAAAAAAGTAATATTAGCTACTCTACCTACTAGTGGGTGATATAACACTGCTCTCTCCCGATGAGTCCAAGCATCAATGGCAGCAGCGGCCGGAGTTTCTTTCTGAGTTTCACGTTGCTGTGCTGCTTTAGCTGATGCTTCAATTAGCCGAAATATAAATGTAGAATGGTTTGCGGTAAAAAGCTTTTTGCTGTCCGCACAAAGTTTACAATGGACAACAATGCTCTACTTACAGCTGTCGAAAATACCTCTCTTTCCCTGTTCTCCATTCTTCCTTTAGCTTTTTGGCTAACAGCTGACTTGAACAACATAAGGTCTGGTGCCGGTCGCGCATTCACGTCAGGGATGGTGCGTTCAGTATTGCAGCGATACTTGGATTAGTAACTGTATCAGTATAACTGTTTTGAAAATAGTTATGTGTTACAAATCCTTTCCATTTCACTCGGCCAGCTCCTGTACCCCCCCACCCCCCTCCAGATATGGCGTTACAGTACGTAACTAAAATTCTATTTCATATAGGCTTCGCCCTCTAAGGCTGTCGCATTGCACACTCACAAGGAAAAATCTCCGGGACTCACCGGCTGACATATAGGCCTGTGAAATAGGCGCATGTTGGTGCCCACAGCCCTTCCCCTTCCCAACAGGGGCAGAGCTCTTCTGCTCGGTAGAGCACGGAGGTTGCTGTCTGCCAGGCCCCCTTGTTTCTGGCATCCCGGCCCTTTTGTGGCAGACCCCCCATGGGTCGCGGAAGGGGGTCTCCCCCCCACCTGGGTGACGAGTTGCTTCTCTTCACGTCTACCAGGGTGCCTTATCAGCAGCTACAACCACTTTCAGAGCTCTACTCGGAGTGGCTCGTTTCTTGCTTGATGGACAGATGGATGAACAGTCTGATCCACCAAGGTCACAGGCTGCAGTTCACCTCCTCCCTTCACCGGGGTATTGGAGACTTTGCTCTCCTCCCCAGTCCAGATTGCTGCCCTCCAGGTGGAGCCTCAGCTGCTCCTGGAGAAGCGGGCTATGTCCAGGGTTTCTCTGGGGAAGGAGAATCAGGGGTTTTACTCCTGTTACTTCCTGGTCAGGAAGAAGACGCGGGTAGTAGGGCCCATCCTGGATTGGTCGTTGTTCAACAAGTGATTATGGAGAGACTTTTTCGCATGTTGACAGTGAAAAAGTTGCTGGAGTGTGTGCGTCAGGGAGACTGGTTCACCTCCATCAACCTGAAAGACACGTACTTTCACAGTCCCGTCATCCCAGAACACAGGAAGTTCCTGCAGTTCTCTTTCCAGGCGTGTGGTGCCAGTACAACCGCCTGCCGTTACTACCTGGCCCCACGCACTTTCTCCAAGTGCACCACTGTCTCGCCTGGGTTTTATGGTAAACTGGAAGAGGAGCACTCTTCTCCCTTCCCAGAGGCTCACCTACCTGGGTGTAGTGCTGGACTCCTCTCTCTGGACAGCGCGGCTCTTTGAGGAGATGGTGGACGCTCTGCTGGAGCTGCTCTGCTGTGAGTCCCTTGGGCGGTGGTGAGGGCTCTATCGGTCATGAGGCTTTTGGGCCTCATATCAG